CTTTCATACCCAGTTGCACCATAGACTTGTATAATACCGTTATGATGCTGGCAGCTTTATTATCAATCCCGCTCTAATAAATTTCCGCTTTTCAGAGCTGCCCCACACTGGTTCAATATCTTCATTAAATAAATAAATAAATAATAATAATAATAATAATAATAATAATAATAATAATAATAAAAAATTTATACCCCGCCCATCTAGCTGGGTTTCCCCAGCCACTCTGGGAGGCTTCCAGACTTCAAACTCTCAAGGCTCCCATTGCAAATGGTATCTCCTAATACGTTTCTGATTTTACCAACCAACGAAATCAAGATCAAACCAATATTATTTTGATCCGTTGTCACGGGACCCCTAAAAGGCATGGGTCCCATAGGCCAGTGCCTACTCTGCCCATTTGGTAATCCGACACCGCATTTTACACTTGTGTACCTTGAATCACACTTGTTTTGTTAATGCTCACTCAGTTTGGAAACATTCTTTTGGAGCTCCTCACAAATCCTCCCCCCACCCCCATTTAGCACCCTGAATAATTGGATGTGATGCTCCTCAATGGAGAGACTATGCTTATGAATGCTTTCTTGCAGAGAGAGATTTGTGAATGATCACATGGTTTTCCTACATTTTATTTAGTGAGTGAAATATACTCAGAGTCGCAAAGTGATTTCATGCTCTTTATTCAGCTCATAGTGGTGAGGAGGAATGAATGAAAGTCCCCTCAAGTATCTGCTTTATATACATTATTTACACAATGGGCTGCACATGATTGGCTAATTCCGGAATTCTACTGTAAGCCAATCAGGTTGTGGATTCACTTCTATCTGGAGCATGATTGGGTGGTTCCTGCCAACCAATCATACTGCTGCATTGTTCTAGGGCAAGTCAGACTGCTGCATTCTGAATCCTATTGTTCTAGGACCAATCAGACTGCTGCATTTTGGATCCTATTGTTCTAGGACCAATCAGATTGCTGCAGTTTGGATCCTATTCAACTCAGTACATAACAGTGAGGTTTTACCCATTTTAATTATTACTCTTTTATCAACATGCTGTGTTCTTGACATCATGAGCCCAGACCTGTTATCTGTATTTAAATTATGCCAAATAGAGTTATGCACCAGCATGTTTAAGACATTGTTTCCATTGTTTCTACGGTTGGTGCCGAGAATAGTGTAATCCTTTGCAGTTAGACTTTTCATTCAAACCTCTTTTTTTTAAAAAAAAACCCCTCACAAAATTAGCTCTCTGCTTAGCCATTGAAAGGTGACAATAATCTCTCCTATAGAAAGTCTCATCTGCATATCTTAACATATAATATACCTCCCTGATTGACATTCCCATTAATCTTGACATTATAAAAGACTGCCTGTTAAACAAGGTAAACAGTGCTTAATGTAACTGCTACTGATACTCGGGCTTTAAAGGACAGAATATTTAATAGCTGCTGTTTGTGGAGATGAATTCTTAAAATGGAATAGCCTCACTATGAAAATGATAGGAAGCCATTGTTAAAGTGTATGAAAGAACAAAAGTAATGATTCAAACTGAGATGAGCTCAGTACAAAGTAGATTCAAATTAAGGAAATTAAGGGACCCCTAAAAGGCATGGGTCCCATAGGCCCATGGGAAAGTATATTCCTTAAGGAAATTAAGGAATATACTTAAACTGGATCCCTCTAGCCCCACTTCTCCACACAATTCTTGTGGGATCTTGGTGACTTGGGGGCAGGCTAATCCGAAGGATTCTCAGCAGGGGTTCTACCTCTAAATATTCAACTCGTTTCTTTTCCCGAAATACCTGCTGCCACTTCAGGAATTCCTGGGACAATGTCCCATGGAAACTATGTCGGCTGCTAGCCATGATAGCTAAGCTCTGCTCCTACAGTTGGAGGAAGCAATGCTTCTGAATACTATTTGTAAAAACCACAGGAGGGTTTTCCACAGGCATCTGGTTGCTCACTGTGAGAACAGGTTGCTGGATTAGATAAGCAATTGGCCAGATCATCAGGCTTTCCTTATGTTTTTATGCTATGGCAAAATGCATGGCAACCCCTATTGGCCTACTGGTTATTCCCAAGGGGGATTCTGAATCAGGAATGTAGCTGGGCTGCTGAGGATAGCCAAATTACTTCCTGAAGCAGTGACAAGGCTTGTTGTAAAAGAAAAAGAATGAATCTGTCACCTCATCTTAAAATAGAAGACTGCATCCACAAAACAATATTAGAATTTACATGCCCCACAGATAAAATATTAATGCAATCTTCAGGAGCTACTCTTATCACACACTGAAACTTTTAATATACTTATTCAGAAAATGCTATGCTTATTTTTTGTAAGCAGTGCTTCCAAATTTCTCCTCATCCCCAGATTTTGGACTTCCAAAATGCCTAGTCTTGTTTCCAAAATGAAACCAATGCCTCAGGAATTGTTTTGTGTTCATTTATATACAAAATATTGTGCATAGTTTGCGGCAGCCTTCTATTCCTTAGTTCACTGATATCTGTTCACTCTTCTTTTTTCCAGTAGCGTGCCTAAAGTTCTATCAACATTCTTTATCAATATTCTTCATGTGTGATATTTTCTTAATATGCTACAGCATGACTAAAATGCATGCTTCTTTCACTAATATTTTCATTTTTATGCACATGTTTTCCTAGTTTATGCATTTTCTACACATTACATGACTGTAGAACTGAATTGCAAAATTCAGGGAAGTGCAAATTTCGGGTGTGTTTCATTTTGTATATTGTTCCAGAAACTGCAAATTATGTAGGTTCACCTTTAAACAGGAACTGAACTTTTGTTAAATACAACTGTGGAGAGAACCTTTATTTCTGGATTGCCTGCAGATTTTGTTGTACAGTTTATCATTTATTTGTTTTTGAATCTGCACTCAGGAACAGTTTTTAACAGCCTGGGGAATTATATCAAAAACTATCATTTGCTGTTCACAGTTTGCTACCCAAGAAATCTCCCTTAATGGTTTCAGTTATTCCATAAAACATTTTTTATTTATTTCTGCAACCTTCCATATTGAGAGGTTTAATATAGTACATGTAAAACCATAGTTCCAGTCTCTGACATAGTTCCAGTTTCTGCTCAAATACAAGCTGCAGGTGTGCTGGAGAGTAAACCAAGTAGTATTCTGAGGAATTTATTTTGAGTAATTTGACTTATCTTAGCCAAACCCCAGATTTCTCTCCCATAAGTCAACTGTGGCAGTACCTTACCAATATATGTTCTCAGAGAAGGGGCAATCCTATTGCTGCCTTAGTTCTGGTAAGACAAAGAATTGCTTGTGTAGGTGTGCTGTGAGGATAAAATGGGGATAGAAGGAGCCATGTATGCCCTGAGGTCCTTGGAGGAAAGATGGAAAACAAATGATAATGATGGTGATGATCATAATGTATACTTGTGAAACTCCTTTCCTATAGCAGTCTTCCAAAAATCAGAACTTGGACCCCTTCCAGAACTGTTGTAAACTGGCATTCAATACCCAAGGATGAGCAGGAAAGGAGTTTAATTTTAATTTCTATATAATTTACATGTTAATTAGGTTTTCTGCTTTTCTTTTAAGCTCAGGAGCTCTTGGGAATGAATGGGATAGACATTGAACTAAGCAAATATACTAAGAACTCTGAATTCATGAGCACAACATTTGCAGTGCCTGATGGTATTTCTAAGGAGTCTCTGAACTTGGCAGCTGCCAAATCCACAGTGAGTGCAAGGGAGAAAAAAAAATTCCAATATGGTAAAGGAAATCCAATATAAGAATACAGAACAAGTCAGAACACCTTAAAAGAAGTGCACTGTTCTCCAAAAATAACTTTTCTCTGAAAATCTTATATAGGTCTACTCAGAAGTATATCATATTGAGTTCAATGGTTAATCCCAGATTAGTGTGTACAGGACTTCATCCCTAATGCCAAAATAATTCAATTGTGAAGGTAAAAATGAGATTAGCAATCACGCCATGTGTTAATTAAATTAGACCCCAAGCATGGATAGGGGATGTTATTAAGATCAGATGCGGGGAAGGTAGGTTTAAACCTTCCCAGCTACAATCGCCCCACTGCCAGCAATAGGGGGGAAAGATTACATTGGCATTGCAAGAATTTCCCGGAGATTGTTGCTAGGAAGAAATAGCTTAAATCTGCCTTCTTCACATGCTGCAATCTTGATAACAATTGTATTTATTTTAAAAAGCAATGACATGATTACTGATGACATCATTAACTTCAGTTAGGCCCTTGATCTATTAAAGTACCATTCATTCAAGTCTAGGAAAACATGAATCAAAGACTGATACTTCTAAACCATGAATCATGACTTTGGAAGATCTTGTTTGGGTCTGAAAGTCTTTATCTTCAAGCAGGAGGTTGGGGAGTGCCATACGTGCCAACTCCCTGGGGCCCTGGGTGCCCTAACACCCACAAAATTTCCCATGAAGGGGCTGGGCACCCACAAATTTCAGTGTCAGGGCCCTGCACGCTGCATGGCAACCACAGCCCCGGGCACCCACAGTCATGGGGCCAAGTTAGCACTCCTGGAGTGTGCTACTGGGGAAGGCAGGCAGCACAACTGGAATTATTGTTTGGCAAGGCCTGCTGTCAGTGTGCATATGAATCAAGCTACAGTATGAAGGAGCTACTCATCCCTTGCTGATGTTACAGGTGCTTCCAGGCCACTGGTAGTGAATCGACTCAAGCAGGTAAATCTGTGCACAGAATTTAGGGAAGAGTGGTTGCCTGCCAGAGCACTCATGTTCAGGCTTCCTATCCTAACCATTATTAAAGCTAGATGAATTGAGGGCACCAGACATAGCTGTAAACTGTAGCTGGTTGCTCAGACACAGGACAGAGAAGCAACCTATACCACCAAATGTTGACCTTCTCCTTTTAATTATTTAATTTATAAAATTTCTTACCTGCCTTACATCCTAAGAGCCCAGGGTGCGTTATAACAATATATTCAGTCACAAGATGGAGGAAGTGAAGGGCTTTGTATTGTAGCCAATGAAGTTAATCTGAGGCATGATTATTGCTAATTGAAAAAAAACAGGTGGTATTTGAGATTTAACAGCTAATTATAGAAGATGCAGCCATGGTCATCAAAGGAGAATTTGTCTCTTTGAGAGGCTTTGGGAGCTAAAACAACTCAAACTGAAAAGTTTCTGGAGAAAGAACTCCAAACTGCACTTCAAAGGTCTGGTAAAGAACAGGTTCAAAAGGTGTTACGGATCTAAACGCTGCAATCTGCAGGCAACGCCTTAGCTCCAACCTGTCCATCATAGCAACCCTTTCTTCAGAACCTTCCAGCTTCATCTATTATGTGTTGAAGTGTGGAAACAATGGGAGCAAGCTGGAGAATGCAGTTCTGGCTGTAGATTACTGTGTGTTGCGGGTAGTGACAGCTGAGTCCTCATGTCAATAAGAGAGAAAAACTAGTGAAATAGCTATTGATGTTATGCCCCCAGTTGTGGCATAACCAGACTAAGCTCCTTCAAGCAATCCCAGAAACTATCAATTCCATTCTATTTTTATTATTGTTATTACTACTACTACTATTTTACAACAACTATTTTGCTCAATCTCCTACTCATCTCAAGCATATTTGTTCATGTATCGAAGTCTTTAGTCATAGGATTAATATAATTTTTAACTGTTTGAAAATTGTATTTATATTAACTCAGCTACATTATAAGCCACTTTATGAAGCCTTTCTTGCCTTGAAAAGCAAGGTATAAACCCGTAAACCAGCAACTCAATAACATGTGTTAGGCTTTTCTGACGCATCCCTTTCCTGGGGAACTAAACAGCATGCAGGCTGCAAGGTAGTTTGCAGCTATGGAAGGTCATGCCACATCCTGTCTTGTGGTTATGAAGCTTTCAACATCTACTGTACATGCTATTTGCAGTAAAATTGTTGATGTGGTTCATCCCACTTTAGTGTGTATCTCTATTTGTGTGCCCCTTCTCTCATCTTCCTCTCTTTTCATCTTTGCTCCAGGCACAATTGACTTTCCCTTGCAAGGGTACTCTTATAAGCAGGGGATGTAACTTTCAAAGGAAAGGAAGAAATTGGATGCCCATGCGTGGGCAATCTCACCTGTACGCTAATAAATGAGCACATATATTTTGTCTGGTGAGTGATTCTAGAGATGGCAAGACAGTGCCAAGTAGCAGCTATTACAGCACGGTACTCATGACATTGGGAGTTCAGGGTCAGTTGTTTCCATTATAAACCCCATTTTTCAGAATTGATAATTTGGCTGCCTTTAAATCATATCCATCTGAAACTGGCGGATCACTTGTCAAGGCAGATGCAAGAGTTCCCTCCCCATTTCATCTAAAAAGTAGCTGCTGCGTTTAAGCAATTTTTCTTGAGTTTTAAGGCAGCCAGGAAGACTGTCAAGAGATTTACAGTTACTTTAGGGAAGACAAAGCAATAGATTTAAAGAAGAATTGATATTCCTGAAATAGTTTCTTCTAAATGCATACCACAGCTGAAATGTATATACATATATCCCAGGCTGGCAGCTACTCAAGAGGAATCAATGAACTCATGTAAACACTCTTGTTTCAAATATCAGGAAAGTAGGGTTTCAAATCGGCTACGACTGTGCATTAAGTAGCATCTGACCACCTGATCTTATTTGTAAGCAAATGCCTTCAGCTGCATTCAAACTGAGCTCCATATCTGCATATTAGACCTATAGATTCGTTCTGTGTCTTGCACAGACACTAAAGTCAATGTAGCTTGCACAGGAACGGCCTTTCACGGAATGTGCCCGTCATCTAATTCCAGGGTGTTTGCTTCACTCTGATGGGCAGTACACAGGGAAGCTGCTTGATAATCAGATGGTTTTCTACCTACATGAAACCATTCTTTTACAATCACACATATTTGACACATATGAAAAATAATAAAGTCGAGCTACTTTGGGCAGAAATTCTATGCATACTGATTTGGGAGTAAGCACCATTGAACACAGCAGGACTTACCTTCTGAGGAAACATGCATAGGACTGGGTGAAATGATTGCAATACTGTTAAAGATGATGCTCTCTCCATTTTCACCAGCCCACTCTAGGTAGCAAAACTTGAGTGTTTTTGGGGGGAGGCAGGAGTGGATGGTGAAAGGGTACAAAAAGTAAGTCTTTCTGCTGGAGTTCTATCATTACAAAGGTAATTATGAGAAAGAGGTTTTCTGTCATCTAGAAGGATTTGCAGCATTTTAAGAGATGTTAAAACAACCCTATACAATTAATGGGTTTTTACTGTCTTTATGAGGATATTGCAAACAGGCAGCAGCTGAAAGTTCTGTAGAATGCTATTAGAGACATACACTCAAGACTTCGGAGCCTGAAGGATATCCTCTGTGAAAATATATTTGGGCCCCTTCAGGACAGGTGGTTGTAATCTTGACGTTATAGGTAAGAAATCCCAGGAGATGGCATCCCTAAAGTCTCTCTTTAATATTGTTCAGGTTTATTAGAGAAGAGCTGAGCTATGTATAATAAAAGGCCAGAACCCAAGGCAACAAAACAGACCAAATATATGAAGATTAGAGTACAGTATATGAAGAAAAGGTGAGAATTTTCTATTTCAATGCCCGTTTTTCTCATTATATGGCAATATCACAGCAATAACGTCTAAGGAAAATCCACTGACTTTTGTCTGACTTCTGTTTTTTGTTTTAATGGCATAACTGGACTCTAGGATGCTTATTCATAGGGATCACTTTCTGATGAGTTTTGTATATAGATACCTGTCAGAAAACAGACAATATGAAGGTTAGAGCTTGTATTTATTCCAGCATCTCATGTATTTTACTCCATTGTCTCCTACAATGTATTGTTTGTAAATCCTACCGTATCCAAGGTATTAGTTATGTTAACATCTCCTGTGCCTAAGCGGAGAAAAACACTGGCATCTTTCTTGTCATTGTTCTTATTTATATAATTCCTACTCATATAAAATACCAAGGCAGTGCATGACAGCATATACAAATACTATGAGATGCACAAAAACAATATAAAATAATAACCAAAATGACTGGTTATACTAAAAAATGTAAACAATTGAACAGACCTGCCTGCTGAATCTGCTGGAAGAGGATTCCACAATATGGGACCAGTAACATTAAATGTTCAGCTTGTAGTTGAGGCTAGTTGGATCTCAACAGGGGAGACAAGTAACAGCACTCCTGCATCACTGGTCTCAGTGATGCAGCCAAGCTATATGGGCTCAGGTGGTCCTTAACATATCCTGAACAACCAATCCAGTTCAGCCAAAGATACACTGCCACAACTTGTTTATCCCAGTCAGCTGAGCCAAAGGTGGCTGAGGTTAGTATAAGTCACAAAAAGGGGCCTTCTTGGGGGTGAGACGGGGGGAAACGTAGGCCTGTACAGTTATATGACCTGGAAATCTGGTATTGAAAACTATATTCAAGGTTTATTTTCCCTGTGCCAGGCTTACGCAAAGCTGCTGCATCTGTACCCACTGCTGAACGAGGTTTGGATTTGGTGTAACTTTATGCTGACTTAATTTACAGGAGAGACACCACCTTGCTGACAAAGGTCTGTATAGTTAAAGCTATGGTTTTCCCAGTAGTGAGGTATGGAAGTGAGAGCTGGACCATAAATAAGGCTGATTGCCAAAGAAGTGATGCTTTTGAATTATGGTGCTGGAGGAGACTCTTGAGAGTCCCATGGACTGCAAGAAGATCAAACCTATCCATTCTTAAAGAAATCAGCCCTGAGTGCTCACTGGAAAGACAGATCCTGAAGCTGAGGCTCCAATACTTTGGCCACCTCATGAGAAGAGAAGACTCCCTGGAAACGACTCTGATGTTGGGAAAGATGGAGGGCACAAGGAGAAGGGGATGACAGAGGATGAGATAGTTGTACAGTGTTCTTGAAGCTACGAACATGAGTTTTACCAAACTGCGGGAGGCAGTGGAATACAGGCGTGCCTGGCATGCTCTGGTCCATGGGGTCACAAAGAGCCAGACATGACTAAATGCCTAAACAACAACAAAACAACAAAATTTACACCGGCATGCTTTCTGCTAGCTTCCTGTGCACAGGATTAATCCCTAAATATGTAATTGTGGCTGATTTTCATAGTAGACATGTCCTGCTATGGAGCAGAAAGCCAGATAAATGCAATAATTGCTTTGAAGAATCACATTTGGAAGAGAAAGTTTATCTGGAAGGCTTAATTCTAAAAATAGTGCTGTTAAGCACTAGGATTTGGCCTCATTTATGCAGATTTCTGTAGCTATGTATATGTGGAATCACAAACCAAAACCTAAATACCCTCAACATAATGATTTAACCACTACCAAAATAAACATGAATAAATATTTTAACTTTTAATTTCCTCCTTAAAAATATTATACATCAGAGATTTGCCTGAAATTATTATCCAGGCAAAACAAAATATCTATTGTGAACAAAAGAGCTCCAACCAAACATAGCAATTTCACATATAGTAAAATGAGTGTCAGATATAATTTGCAGTCATATGGGAAACTGGGATCAGTAGGGAATATTTCTCGACCATTTCTTACATTTCAAAGCAACATAGCTGTTAACTGTAAAACTCTACCATTCCAATCTTAATAAAAGTATCCCCAGTGGTCATGTTAATTTTTACTTCACAGTAAAAAATAAAATAAAATAAAATAGAGAGGATGAGAGGGAGAAGCAGTACCAAATTGTAATTTGCATAGAGAGGCAGCAATGCCATTTTGAAGACTAGGTCATTAAAACTTTGTGTCCAGAAGATCTAGAGATTTCAAATATGTGCTATAAAATATTATGTGTGAATATTGGTGACATAAACCCAACAGACTTAATATTGCAACTATGAACCAATGAGGAGCTTACCATAAAATGGCTATGTTTAAGAATCGTGCCCTAAATTAAAATTTGGGATTATCACCACCATTGAATTTCTTTCTATATGCTACAAACATCTGCATGTATGATCTCAAGAAGATGCAGTTTACTTCAGTGCATGAATTAAATCATTTTTGCACTGCCTGTAGGCTACTAGCAATCCAGTTTACTTCCACACTAAGCATATTAGGGTAGAAT